AGAATCCATCCACATGGGCCATGGCAGGAATAAGATGCAGAATACATCCTAGGGCTTCCCTGCTGTAATCCCACACAGGTAGGAAGTATCGTTTATACCTAGTGTTATCTCCTTGCTTAAATTTTAACCAATTTCCTTCTTCTTATCAGCAGAGAAAGTGCTAGTGAACCAATAGCTAAAAAGATTTTTTATGATATTTGAAAACTACTGGTGAGTTTTTGGTTTCTTTCCATTTTGTTTTGAAAATATTCATTCTGAGTCATAAACACATGGTACCATTGTGACTTGTTAATACAAATGTTTCCTTAAAGATATTTTTGTGTGTGATTTTTGAGGCTTCCTAAAGAAGATTGATGCCATTGTACTGGATTTCTCTCCATATGACTTTGCTACTTGTGGCTGCCTGGTGGTTCAGTCTTATACTACCAGGTCCTTCCTACCTCTCTGAATTCCCATCTCCTGTCACCCTCACATCCTTGCTTGTACAAGTGGCTAATCATTCTTCACAGATAGACAGTTGCTAAACCATTATTCACCGACCCAGACATGAGTCTCAAACTCCCAAGAACTTGCTCCAGCCAGGGCAGGCTTCCCCTTCAATTCACACCTCCCTTTCATGTTAGCTCAGAAGAATAGGCTTAAGCTTCTTGCTCTGTTTTTCAAAGCAATAAAGATAATTTAGGCGGCCAAAACTTCACTTAATTCCTACAGTAGGAAGTATCACTTGAGGATGAGGAGTGGGTAGAAATAGCAAGAGTGCAATACAGAGAATGGGGTTTGGGCCTGGTAGTTAAAATGCTGGTTGGGATGCTTGCATGCCATACATAGTTGAGAACCTGGTTTTGAATTCTAGCACTGGTCCCTGACTCCAGCTTCCTGCAAATGTGGACCCTGGAAAGGCTGTGAGGATGGCTCAAGTAGTTGCATCCCTGCCGTCCACATGGGAGACCTGAACTGAGTTCCCTGTCCACTGCTTGGCCTGACTTAGTACCACCCATTGCAGGAATGGGTATTTTGAGGAATGAAAGTATCTCTTTGTCTTCAAAAATCACGCATTATGTTTTCCTGCTTTTTGATGATATAGAAAAGGAACAATGCAGTATGTATTTGGGTGTTTTCCCCCACTTCCTTGATAAATGATGCATATGTGGTTTGTTCAAACTCACTGTTATATAGTAACAAGCAAACTTGGTTGAGATGTTAATTTGAAGTAAATATTAGCTGTGCTAGCCATCTAAGTCATCACCAATAATCATTTCAGTATAATCATTTTCAGTATGATTTCATACCTACATTAACCAGCTCAAGGCAGGCAGTTCTGAAGAAAAGTTTATTTGGCTCACAGTTTTAGAGTTTTCCAGAGCCGGGTGCTGGCATTAGTTCATCTCCTGTGAGCATTTTCTGAGACCTCCTCATGGGAATTAAGTTCAGTTGCATCTGTGGCCATGAAACAGTGAATATTTCTCACTGCAACTCTTGAAGTGTTCACATATTGTTTGGTATCATACCTGCCTGTCCTGTGAGTGTGTTACAGGACAGGCAAGGCTTGTTCACCTTTATCCAAGGATAAACCACTCTTCCCAGCACAATACCTGCTCCATCCAGCCATTCCACGCCTGTCACTCACACGGAGAGGAGAACAGTGAGTTGTTCAATACCACAAAGCATTTTGCAATCCATTATTTTTCTTTCTTTTTTCTCTCTATTTTAACTGTCTGACCTTTTGATCAGTAGTGTATCTGCTAAAACAGTTGTACTGACAGAATTTACTCTCGATGACAAGGAGATTTTTCCTGGTTCCTGTGGATTTGTTCTACCCTTAGTTTTCTGCCTCCCCTAGGATTGCTGATCTCCAGTGTCTCTCAATGCTTTCAGTTCACCTCGCTTGCCTTCTGCTCTAGGAACTGCACTTCCAAGTTTGCATAAGTGTTTGCTTCTTGCCTGAGTAGACTCTCCAGAGTATCATCAACTAATAATTAATGGTGTTAGCAGAAATGCTAGTAAACGTCGTAAGCATGATAATCACCAGCTCACAGCTAATGAGACTGATCTTTCAAATTTCTCAAGCGGTGGTTAAGGACAGCCGGGACCTCTTGGCCTGAGGTTCACTCCAACCCTCCTTCGTCAGTATGAGCATCTGGAAGCCAATCCAAGTATCAGGCCAGAGAACTTCCACTGCTGACAAACTGAACCAGAGAGACAAGCTAATCTTAAAAGTCAGGAGCCACTTAGGGATACCATTCCTCTCTCTGTTGTGGACTTCTCCCCATCCTAAGCCAGTGATTGGCTTTGTCAGATCTTTAGACTAAAATAGGTTTGAATGTTAAGAAATTAAGACTTAATCCTTAATGATAGAGGAAGTGAATCATTTTAATGTTGTCACCCCCACCCAAAAAAAACCCAATTTCCGTCCACTTGGCCATTTGATCCAATGCTATAACTTAAACTATACAGTCATGATAGGAGAGTTTCATTTCTGTAGGTGTTTTAGTTACAAAATGAAAGGTATGCTTTTCACTGCTTCTTTCACAGTGTTTTTTAAGCTGATTTTGCCCCAGACTCCGTGCAGGCTGTTAGAGACAGCAGTGGAAATATATAACCTCACTTGCATGAAATTTACAATCTGGTAGCTATTTAAAGCACTTCTCTGGAGCCCAGGAGTTTGAATTTTATCCGCAGTATGCTTTCATTTTTGTGAGAAGAGGGTACATTTATAATTAGCAATAATTTCAGTTGTTTCCAGAAGTCCAGCAAAACAGAATGATTTTAAGATCTCACCACTTACATTTGGGTGGAATAATATGAAATAAATCAGGATTATATGAGTTTTTCAGACCAAAATGTTTTCCCTGAGCTGCAGAGATATTTTGTGCTCTCCCTTCATCCGTCCCTCAGATCTGTAAGCTTTTTTTTTTCAGAGATGTTTCCATTCAAAATAGTTTCCTTTATTTTCTCCTAAATATTTAACTGTCAGCCAGTTTAAGCATTTAGGTTCGTGCTATTAAAATAAATATCAGAACAAGCAGATTTATTTTCTATTTATATGAATTTATCCTTTACTTTCTCCGACATGTTCATATCTGTAGAGAATAGGGACGTGAGATGAGTATCATCATCAGGAACAACCAGAAGGAAGTGAATTTTAAACAAAAAATAACTCACTAAATAAGTGACGTGATGACCTTGCCATCAAAATCTGTCTCCACAGTTAGTCTCCGGGACACATTCATTTTAATAAGTCTAAGTTAAATTTTTTGAATGTTTGTTTAAGGTTCTGTTTCACTATTTTTTTTTAAAGGCAGATAGATTTAATGTTTTCTTTCCCCCAAACAGCTTCCCTGCTTACTGGCTAGCTCTCTAAGTAAATTCACTTTGCTATTAACTTTCGTTAGCATGCATAAGCATATCTGTAGCCGCATTAATCTGAATAAGGCCATTTCACCAAACAAAGATCTTTTGAAAGAACTGTTAAAAATCAGATTCCATGCAGGGAATGAAAAGAAAATTGCATTTGTGTCCCATTTATAGTTCAGTTAAAGGACTTGACGTTGGGGATTACAGCTGCCATATTAAGGCATCATGCAACAAATGTCCAACAAATATCAAATTATCACCAGCCTTTCACAGTGAATCACATTATTCCATGGTCCCTGGTCCTTTGTGTGCAGTCCTAGCATTTGTGGTGTAGCTGTGACAGTTTGGGCTCTCTAAGTCCCATTTGAACCTACTCTGACTTCAGAACCTCTTCTCCGTGGCATACCCCACCCCTCCAAGGCAATATGAAAGCAGTTCCACCTTGACGAACTTCCACTAGTAGTCAAAGAAAAGGATTGTATTTTGTCTGTGAACTGTAATTCGTGCTTGTTAATAAATGGTGACTTTTCTTACTTGAAGATGCCCCTTCTCTCAGCCTTATGCTCTTGGTCATCCTTTCCAAGCAGCTAGCTTTTTGAATCTATTTTTTGTTATTATTGTTGTTCTGACTTTTGTTTCTGATCTGTTGGTGAATCTGATTTCTGTAGATTGTTAGTCATTCTAAATATAAAGTTAGAGGTGCTTGTTTTCCAATTCCATGCGTTGTTTCTTTTTTAGCAAATAATTTTAAATTTCCAATATGCAAAGAAAAGTTTTACTTAGTTTATTTCAAGAAGATGAAAGATTTGCTCAAATTGCCAAATACATTTGCTTTCTTTGGTGTGTTCGTAAACATATATGTGCATGATGGAGAATATAGAACACGTAGCTATAAATATGAACTTTGGATTCCAAAAGTTTGCCAAAAGCTTCACTCGCTACCTCCTACATATTTATAAGAGTAACCACCACTCTCAATTTCAAGTTCACATGAGGGGCAGACAATACATTTTCTCTAAGGTACGGTAGATTCAAGAAAACATAATCCAGGGGAATCAGCTTAGGTTGGAGCCTGTGAATTCAATGAGAACATCTGATGGGAAAGAAAATGAAAAATCCCTGGAAACTTCTTTGGAGTCCGACCATAATTGCAGAAATGTTTGTTCTAGCAAAGCCAGTTAACTTCACTTATACTGCTGGAGAGGACTACTTTGTGGAGTTTCTAACAGGAGTGATAGTTGGAAAGTTCGGATCCCTCAGAATAATTCTAAAGACTGAAGAGAAACGTCTCAGGAACGCTCGCTCTGTGCGTAGTGGGAATGGTGTAGTGCATGTGAAGATGTTTAATCTGGAGTCCATCAGAAAACAAATGTGGCACGTGGGGTTGTTTTTGCCACATTAACCATTCTAATAAAAGAAATAAGAGACACATAGAAAGTCTGTAGATGATAATCTTCTATATGATTTTGCAAATATTCCTTTGGTTCCTTGTAAACGTTAGTGGCTAAGTTTTAAAGTTTGATATCACTTTGATGTTACCTTATCTGCTTCACTTCATGGGAAGTATTTCTGTTTATTTAGACCCCTGAAAAAAAAATCACAGAGCTGAGCTATAGAAAGCCAAAGGCTATTCAGGCTTTCCAACACTGTGTACAAGAAAGATAGGAACTAGTTCTAAAATGAACTGAGCTGAAAATGAGATGCCTGCCTTTACAACTGCACTGTGTTGGACTAAGGGGAAAGCTGCCCGTTGCGAAAAGCCACACACAACGAAAGGAACAGATACAGTACTAGGAACTAGCAAAGCAGAGAGAGGGAAAGACACTTTGAGTATTTTCTTTTGTTTGTGTTTCCAAATTAGTCTTGACAGAATTTACTATTTGAAGATGTCAGAATTTCAGCATTTAACAACATGGTATTTGATATGAAATGTATATCATCTTTCACAAGTAAAACAGTCATGGAGAGTTCACAAAGAAACTATCGTAACAGAAACAGGTAAAACTCACTAGTGCTTTTACAAGTGTAAAAATTGTCCTAATCACATTTATTATCTGTTAAAGTCACACGAATAAGAAAAAACATGGCATCACTTCCAGCAAAAGTTGAGCTTCAAGCTTCTTTGACATAACCTTTTAAAATGCATATATATATATATATATATATAAACTTCTACATAGTATATTATTTATAAATGTTACTTATATTCAGTATTTAGATATGTATAAATTAATTCAGTTATAATAGGCTCCTATGATATTATATGGATATAAAACTGCAAATGCTTTTTATTTATAGAAAATTTCAACAAATTTCTGTAGCTTTGTGTAAGTTAGTTTTTATATGTACAAATTTCTATTTAGTTTATTTTCTGTGCCAGGTTTTAGACATGCATGGGTGTCTTCCTTTCCCTATGGATAGAGAAAAATAGAAGGAAATCCAGTAGTTCCCAATTGTGATTCAAGTACAAAGAACACATAAGAGATTGAGTTGAACAAAGTGTTACATCTGAAATTCAAAATAAAATTGGTTAGGTGGTGTATGTGTGTAAAACACCAACAAAACTGGTTATACCTACTGCTTCAGAATAATTGCTGGAAAGCATGTACAGTTGGCCATCAGCTTTTAGCAGGAAATGCCTGCTGTGGCAAACCAGATGGTACAGAAAGACAGAGTAAACATGAGTCCCAACCTAGAAAGCTGTGAGAGGTGCACGAATCCAAGGCAGGCACTGGTGTTAGCAGGGGCATGCCTGCTCATGACGTATGTTGCGTTCCTCATCAAGACCTCCCGTTCTTGCTTAAGAATGAGTTCTGAGAGCATTAGACAACACAACCCTGGCCCGCAGGAAAGGAAACTCATGACACATCACTACCAGAGTCACCAAACTGCTCAGCCTTCAAGTTCTCAAGTATTTCCTACGTCATTAAATATATTAGATTAAAACAATGAGATGATAACAACTGAAAATAAATTATGGTTGCAATATGAAATATATTCCATTATAATCGTTTTAACATCATACAGTCATCTAGAAATACAACTATAATTCTCATTCTCACTACCATAGCAATTTGTTGGCTAGTATCTACCGGCCCGTGACGAATAACAGGGTGTTCTGGCTGTTTAGAGATGACAAGAAAACCAGAGAATCACTTTAAAACAATTCCAGAATGAGCTAGAGCAAGGGGAAGAAGGAGAGAGGAGTGCACCCAAACAGAGCACTAAGTTCCCTGAACACTCAAAACATCTCCTTGCACTGTTAAAATTTCACACAACTGAATTTTAACAAACTTAACCTCTATCCCTGATGGTCTCCTTTTTTTTTTTTTTTACAATGATGGTTTCGCCTTCTTGCAATTCAGATAGTATAAGCAGGTCTCTGTGGTTGATGTTTATCTTAATGGAAACAGATTCTCTTTATCCTTTTTCCCGGGACTCCTACTTTGAGGCTGAAAGGTCATTTTCATTGTGGACAGCGTTTGGGAAACCACATAATGAATTCAAATACATTCATGCCTGCTAAAAGGAAGCTTCTCTTTCCCAACTTCCAGAGCTTACGTAGCATAAACCATTGGGTTTTGTTGAATTCTTTTCAAAGGAACCTGTTGTATCATTTTTTTAATGTGCCATCTGCAGAGAATGGGAAAATTCTAGGCTTTTACTTAATCTTTGTCCAAAAAGTGCTTTCTTCTCAGTAATTGCAATTAAACCCTGCTCTGGTTTTGCAACAATTGTCAACAAATGTAAGGAGTATTCTTTGGATACATTATTTTAAAGGTCTTTTTATACATATGATTAAATTTACTTTTTATTGTGGTTAGATCTTAGCAGATTGAACATGATTTACAGATAGGATTCTAAGAACATAATGAAATTACCTTACTCCTGCCCTCTTTCTCTTTTTCCTTCGATTTTGAAGTAACATTTTAAGTTAAATTATAGTAAAAGTCATAGCATTTCATTGAATAAGAAGTCTAACAAGTTAAAATTAAAAAGATCTTTGCAGGAATACAGACAATGGCTATAAGCAAAATTTGAGTGGGAAAATAACCATTTCCCACATATACAGTAAATTCTACAGTAATCATAGGTCATAAAACTAAAGAAGTATAATATTCTTGACCATTTGTGTGACAAAGATGTGAAACAAAGTGTTGCAAATCTTTGTTTGCAGCAATACTGATATGCATAGTTCTTGTCTGTCTTTCATGCAGCAGCTTCACTTTTTAAAATTTTCTTATATTCTTGTGGTTAAGTATAAAAATATATGTGCAAACATTGCCTGTGCTAGAGTCAGCATTGGTACGAAGCTGCAGTCAGGAGTGAAGCCACAGCATCAACTTTGATATTTCATTGCGAGGCACAAGTATCTTAACAACCACGTTCCGTTCAAGCCCCTTTCCATAAACTTATCTTTGTAATCTTAGCTTCTGCAAACGTTGTGAACTGCTTTCATGTAGTAATGACAGAACGTTATACATCCACGAGGAAGATGTCTCAGGTTCTGCTCAGAGAGCTATCTCCAATTGTTGCTTTCATTTGAAAGGTTGATGCTCATATTCACAGATATGCACATTTGTTAGTTCTCTTGATGCTATCACTTAGAGTTTATGTCCGTGCAAATTCTGAGAATGGAAATTCTATTCACTCAGAAGCAAAAAAGAAGCCTAATCATCACAGTTTATTCTTCCACAATGTGCATTTTTCACTTGCATGTTCATATAGACAAAAGCTTATTGTCTGCTTCTGGGGCAACTTTATTGAGATGTAGTTGACCATATGATTCATCTGTAGTGAAGTGTGGGATTCATTGATTTTTTTAATACAAAGATGTAGTTGTGCAGTGATCTCCTTATGTGGTTTAAGACATTTTATCACAAGTAGAAGAAACCCCCTCCAATCAATTCTTCTGTCTTGCTTGCAGTCCTCAGTAATACCAACCTTCTTGTATTTCTTCTATATATTTTTGTTATTCTAAATATTTCACATAAATGGAATTATAAGTTATTATCTTCTATGACTGGGTTCTGTCACTTAGTAGGCTTATCTGTGTTGAAGCATGTGTCAGATTTTACTCCTTTTTGTGTGCAAATAAAATTCTAGTGTACAAATGTAATACAGTTTGTCCACTATTTCACTGTTTGATGGAAATTTAGGTGGTTTTACTTTTGACTGTCTTGAATTATACTTTTATGAACATTTGCTAAAAAAAATATGGGTATGCATTTTTAGGTCTGTGCTGCAATATATACTAAGTAGTGGAATTATGGAACATATGATATTTTTGGTTTACTTTTTCACTGGTCCTTTTTAATTGCAGAAAGCTATTCTGTTGAAGAGTTACAGAAGTGTTCATTTAATCACATCATGCCTTTTTATGTGAAGACATAGAAATGCAATATTCCCCATTGTTTATTAATGGATGTGTAAATACAAATGCATAAGTATGTCTCCCTGGTTTTTTCTGTATGTGTCCTCGAGGTAAAAGGTGCTAGCTTTAGCAGAGGTGGCTTAAGGGCTTGGAAATCTGAGGTTGGAGGGAACTGCGATGAGGATATTTTTATAATGTGCGCTGTTGAAGTTTTCCATAGAAAAGATGATTCATTAGTATCAAAAGGCCAAAATGGATGTTCCTCATGCTCATCGGGCAAACGGTGGTCAGGCCAGAGACGTCTTGACCTGTGCTCTGCCCCAGTCACCCCTCTCTGTGAGTTCTGGGAGCTCCACAAACCCCTCTTGTTCCTGCCATTTGCCATGATTGACGCCGTTTTCTGTTATCAGAATGCACACTGAATGACTACCTTTCCTATCTGTAAGAGCCAACGTGTCATTTCAAAAGCAGCTGTTGCTTAGTTCTTGCTCTAAAATTGTGTCTCAAATGTGTTACTTCAATCAGTCCATATCATAGGCTTAGGGGTGAATAAAAGGCACCAAGAAGATCCTGGTAAACCACAGACTTGAGAAACAGGACAGTGTAGCAAGTCCAAGTGAACGGTGTGGGGGTTCGCAGGTGGGGCTGGGCAATCGGGGGTCCCAAAGTGTCTGATGCGCTCCCTAAGCACTGTGGGTTGGTGACTCCATCATGTAGTTCTGCAATGACCTTGGGTGGGTTTGAACATCAACTAATCAACTGTGTCAGCTGGATTTTTCTGTCTGTTAAGTCCAAACCTATGTGGATGACGTGAGAAATACGCCATTCAATTCTGATTATTTCTTTCTCCTCCTCCTCCCCTTCTTCTTCTCCTTCTTCTGCTTTTGCCTTATTCAGTCAGAACGAAGAGTCAGCATTCATTTACCTCACTAGTTTGTTCACTCATGCATTTACTCCCGTATTCATTAAGCATTACTCTGAAACCTGTGAAGCTGTTTGCAGATAAAGATGGGTTGAGGAATGGAATTAGTTCAAATGGCACCAGAACCAGTACTAGATACACTTCATGTACTGTTCAAGTTGTGATATATTTTCCCATTGGTACAACCATTTTTTTTAAGACTTATTTTTATTTTTATTGGAAAGTTAGATTTGTAGAGAAGGAAAGACAGAAAGGTCTTCTGTCTGCTGGCTCACTCGCCAAGTGGCCACCTGGGCTGGAGCTGAGCAGATCAGAAGCCAGAAGCCTCTTCCACATCTTCCATGTGGGTGCAGGGTCCCAAGGCCTTAGGCAATCCTTTACCACTTTCCCAGGCCACAGCAAGCAGCTGGAAGGGAAGTGGAGCAGCCGGGATAGGAACTAATGCCCTCGTGGGATGCCAGCAGTTGCAAGGCAAGGATTTAGCCACTAGGCTATTGTGCCAGGCTCGACTACTTTTTTCTTTAGAAGACCCCATGACAATTGATATGCCTTTTTCGACATGTCAACAGTACACAAAGAATTTTGTGTTATAAAAGCTTTACCATTGCCTAGTTTCTCTTCCCTCCTTCCAAAAAAAAAAAAAAAGGATAAGATCCTTTTATATTTTTCTGTGTCATGTGATTAGACAATGTGACTGTACTGATACGAACTTAATGCAGTCACTAAGGAGCATGGCAGGAAAATTGTGCCATGCGTATTTGCTGTGCTGGGGAGCTCAGGCCTCGGGGGAGAAAGTAATGGTGGGAGTTCCACTTGGTATCTGCTTCTTCTTGGCTTATTAAAATATTTATTTATTTGAAAGGAAAGTGAGTAGAAGGCAGGGAGTGAGAAGGGAGAGAGGAGAGGGGAGATGAGAGGAGAGAGAGAAAGAAAGGGGGAAGGGAAGAAAGGGAAGAGAAGAGTAAAGGAAGAATCTTCTATCTGCTGCTCCCCCAAATGACTGTCAGACACAGGACTGGGCCATGCCAAACCCAGGAACCAGAAATTCCATCTATGTGTCTCATGAGCACTCTAGGGCCAGGTCCCTTGGACCATCTTCTGCTCCTTGCCTAGGCTGGTTAGCAAAGAAGCTGCATTGGAAACTGAGCAGCTGGGACTTGTACTGGGGCTCCCATCTTGGCTGTTGGTGTCATAGCAGCAGTTTAGTCCACTACACCACAACACTGGCCACTTTTTCTGGATTTGACATTGTCCATTGCAAGCTCTCACTTTCCAATGTAAAATCTAGAGGATACGAACCGTCAACATCGGTCATTATTTGGTCACTAGGAAATGAAATGGAAGTAAGGAACAGCATTGACACCTGCTTATTGAGGCTGAGGCTTTCACAAAGATTCATCTGTACACTGTCACACACAGAGGACTCCAACCCAGGCAACTCCTTTATGTAATTTTTATGTAAAGAACAGCATATTTTGTGATAGACCTGGAAGAAGCTCTTGGCTTTGGACTGGCTGGACTATGGTCATTGCAGCCATTTGGAGAATGAAGCAGTGAATGGAATATCTGTCTCTCCTTCACTCTGCCTTTCAAATAAAAATAAATAAATTAAAATAAATAAATAAAAACCCTCAAAGAAAAAAGAACAGCATAGTAGTGGCTAACCCCTTAAATCAAGTAGGAAATATATAAATATTTCATAGATTCTAACTACATATTCTAAAGATTCCTTTATTTTTATATTTTTTGATATAGGAAAACATCACTAAGTTCTTATTCTATCTACAGAGTTGTTTGTACTCAAGCAAAATTGACTCCTGTATTTCTCCTTTTATTAAAATGCATTTTTATCATAAAGGCAGTTTTAAATATCAAAAGAATAAAAATGCAAGCATTAAATTGTTCATAATCTCAAAAAAAATCCCTAAAATAACCTTAACTGATTTTCTGCCACTTTCTAAACAATTATACTATTATTAGCAATAGTTTAGATTGTAGTTTTAATTTCAACTTTTAAAAAATTTAATATTTTATTAATATTACCCTGCATCATCGGATGCTATTTCAAACATGATTTGAATTTCTGCAAAATATTCCACTTTGAAAATATTTCCCAACTTAAGCATCCATTTACATGACTTGTAACATGGCCAAATGATATAGAAATATCAACAGGGAACATCTTTGACCTGACTTGTATTGCCTTTAACTATTTTCTTAGCCAGATAACTATGTCAAGGGTTGGGAATATTTTAAGACTATTTCTACATTTGTAAATATTTATCAAATGTTGTACGAGTTACACTCCAAGCAATACCATTATGCATTTTGATAATAAAAAACAACCTTTATTCACATATTAGTTTAAAGTAATATTGTAATATTGCCTTAGTTAGCATTTTTGGAGAACTACTGTGTATGGACAAATAGGTTTTTCTTACATTTATGAGCTGCCTCTCAGCTCTTTTGTTCTTGTGGTTACATAAAGACTCTTTACATGTTAAATATAGAACTTCCATGTCGTGTTTTCTGTAATTAAAACATATCCCAGTTTTTAGTTCCCTTTTCTTGTGATTTTGTATACTCAAAACCAATTTTTTTTTGTAACCTGTTCCGTAGCTTTAACAATATGAAGCATTTTTCCCAAATAATAGATTAATATTTGTGAATTGATTTTCTTACTTCTCTGATCTGTTTGGAATTTACAGATATAAGTTTATTTTATACTCAATTAATATCCTGAGACAATTTTGCATAGAAAATTTTACATATCATTCTTTGTGTGTATACTTGTCAGGTAAAAATTATAACAATCGCATCACAGTAACTACCAATAAATTAAATGGACTGAGTGAAGAGTATTTGCAGTTTTATAGAAATATACTGTATTAAAACTGTTGCAATTATTGGAGCCGACATCATGATGTAGCAGGTCAGGCCGCTGCCTGTAATACTAGTATCCCATGTGGGTGCTGGTTCATGTCCTGGCTGTTTCACTTCCAATACAGCTGCCCATGGAAGAGGGCACAGATGCTTGGGCCCTGCACCTGGCCTCTACCTTGCTCAGCCTTGGATGTTGTAGCTACTTAGGGAATGAACAAGTAGGTTGAAGGTACTCGCTGCCCCTCTCCTGTTTTCTCTGTAGTTCTTTCAAATAAATAAAATTGTATTTTTAGTTAGTACATTTATCTATATATTTTTTTCCTTTTGAACCCTTTTATTCTTTGTATCCCATTTGCTAACATCAATAGAACTTGTAGAGTGTCATGTCCCTGTTCAATAGTTTTTTTTTCTCTCCAAGTGCCCAATGTATAATCAAGGGAATTCTTTATCAATAACATCTAAAAGTATGTGTGCCAGTAAAAGCCACCAAGAAGCAATTATCCAACAAAGTTTATCAATTTAAAGAATCTTTGTGTTCGACTCAGCCAAGCCATTTCAATTCTACCTTTCCTGTAGGACCAATTATTAGGGTTCCAAAAAGCTGAAATTACCTTTAGCCTTGAGTGAACATGGGCAAAACCTCATATTTCTCTAAGCTGTGCTCAGCAAATACAAATACAAGCTAGTACCCATATACATTAAAAATAATTCTGGGCCTGGTACAATAGCCTAGTGGCTAAATCCTCACCTTACATCCACCAGGATCCCATATGGGTGCTTGTTCGTGTCCTGGCTGCTCTGCATCCCTTCCAGCTCCCTGCTTGTGGCCTGGAAAAGATAGCCCAAAGCCTTAGGACCCTGCACCCATGTGGGAGACCCAGAAGAGGCTCCTGGCTTCTAGCTTCATATCTGCTCAGCTCTGACCATTGCTGTCACTTGGGGAGTAAACCAGCAGATGGAAGATCTTTCTCTCTATAGATCTGCCTTTGCAATAAAAAAATAAATCTTTAAAAATGATAATAACAATGCCATAGCTCAGAAGATGTACATTTTCAGTGTATACATTTTAGTGTACGTCTTGCCTATCACATGTTGGTTCAGTTAGTAGAGCTGTGGAATAAATATTTTTATGTCAAGTGATTTTGCAGTAATTAATTGACTTAGTTTCATGTTGAAGGTATTCATTTCAGTTCGCTCGTGGTTCCTGTTGTAATGAAATTGGACTCACTCTATAAGATTATTTAAGGAGCCGTATCACAATGGTGCAAGAGCAGAAATGTCTGTGGAAGTGGGTGGTTTATAGACAAGATACATCATAGAGGCAAACGGATTATAACTGGAATCACTTTTACAAGAGGTCATTTTATTTGTGGTGTATAATATGTGCATATACCATGATAGAAACCATGATAGAAAACATACATATTTGAATGTGATAAGCATTTCATTTATAATTCATACAAAGAAGTAAAATAGGCTCACCTTTTCTGAATAAACAGAAGCATCTAGAACAACAAAAAAAAGTAAGATCATCATTCCAAATTGTGGAATATGTGTATTGCATGCTTACATTTCCATTTTATGAACAGGTTGACATGTAGGCAGATCCAGCCGCCTTTTCAAGGAAGAACACTCCTGTAAAAGATTTCTATGCATCCTCACTCTTCTTCCAGTAATAGAAACTACACAAAATTATTGAATCTTTAGTCATTGTGGCTGAAAGTATTACTCAAAATCAATAGAGTTCCCATGTAATGATAGGTTTTCATATCAGATTTAAGATCAGTTTGATTAAACTTATGAAATAAATACCCTGCTACTATTCAGTCAGAGATGGATGAACTAATGAATGGGCACATATTTCTGTTTAGACATTTGTGTGATCTTTATTAAGAAAGCGAGGAAAGGAATTTAACATCACTCTGTGCAGGCTTGCTCCTGTTATCTGTAAATATCACCTGTCATGTCAAGCTCAGTTTTATAACGTAATCACACACAAAGACTACAAGTAGAGCAAAATGGAGGTTGAAATATGTTTATTGCCAGGGACTTTGAAGGAATTCCTGGGAACTGTGTTTTAATAGTCTAGAAGAAATAATTGTGGTACCGTTCTAAGTAGATGCCACTGTGTTGATCAGGCGGAGGTGACACTGTGGGAATATTCTGTATTTCCCCAGTGAGCGTCTTCACCTGTAGGGAACTGTCCAGGGACCAAGAGGGACCTTGAATGCTTCCCAAGGGTTTAGTTCCTGTTGTTGAAACGACTGCTGGTTATTTTTCCAGGTTTGAAGCTAGCATATTTATCTCCTTTACACACACACACACACACACACATAAAGCCAGCGAGTTGTTTGACTATAGTCCTGCATTTTTGGAAAACTTTGGAGAAGGTTAAAATCATTTTTATTGATTTGGCAGGAGAATGAAGCGTTTACAAGGTGCCTGGGTTGTACACTAAATTTTAATGACATTTTCTCACCCCAATTCCCAGGAATCTCTATGGCATAATCCTTCCTGCCCAGGTACATGACAAAAAAAAAAAAAAAAAGAAGATGTAGCAAGACTAGGAAATCTAATCAAAGGCATAGAGCTATTGGCAAGACAGAATCAGACATTCCAGTACATATACACACACACTGACACACATTCTATGGAAAATAACGATTCCTGAGGCTAGATTTGACAACTGCATGGAAAAAAAAAAAGCTTTTGTCTGCCAAGATTTTTCCAAAACTCAGAGACTTTTTAGCTGGTTTGTTTTTCACTGAAGAAAAATATTTTGTATCATTGCTGGCTTGTACAGTTATAAAAAAAATAAATTAGAGGTAAACAGATAATAGTTTCCTGGCTGCCTTCATGTCTGTGAGCCTGACATGGCTCCCAGAATGAAAAATATGCTGCACGCAGTCTTATGTGACATTGCTTATTTAGGGATCCTTTGAACATTTATTTGCCATATCCAGTTACAGCTATGGTATTTGCCATTTTAGGCAAACACACACATACGCCTGGCCATTATTTTGGTGAAAGCTGACATTCCCTGCCACTTCCAAAATGTTCCATGTACCCACGCTCATAATTATGGCATCGGTGCCCCTCTGGCAGTACAATTATCGCCAGATTTAGTGCCAGTGAGAACATTGGTGGGACCTCTTTGTTACTAAGAAACATATCACAGACATGTCTCTTGGACCATGATGAGTGTATTTCCAAAACTGGTTGCTCGCTGAATTATTTTGTAATAACACATGTTTTACCAAGTGCAAAATGTATGAGGAGATTTCAAAAAATTTGCAGAAAAGTAAAATTGAAAAAAAAAACTGTTTTAATTTGATGCAAAAAAAAATTGAAATGCATGCACAGCTTTTCCACAGTATTCATTGCCATGACCTTTTTTGGAAGACACCCTCACGAAAGGTTAATTGTTGAACTCAGGAAATGTAAATGTTAGAACTAACCTATCACGGCAATATCCAAAGGTGACGACCATTAATAATTGGTTGGCTTATATCCTGCCAGCTTCCCTGGGTATACACACCTAAACCACAAATAACACAGATGAGCAGGCACACAACACAGACACACATACTGACAGGTATGGATGCAAAACAGTCATAGGAAATAGAGTGAAAGTTACTTTTATTTATGGTGAAAAAATATTGAAATATATGCATCCAAGAAATCTCTAAAAATTTATTAGAAAGTGCACATTGTGAAAAAAAGACCTATGTGTAGGTTTTCAAACTTTTTTGCACCATCATAAACTTTTGAAAATTCCATTTCCACAAAAATTCTGAAGAACTTACAAATAAAAAATGTGTACATATGTGCACACATATAAATATATTCCAGTTTTGTCTGTAACTATAAATAGTATGTGAAAAAATTATATCAGAGAAGTCGACTATCACATTTTTCATTGTCTTTTACAGATTTTTTTCAAACTATAATAAGTTGAACATATTGTAAGGCAAAAAAATGCATTTAATATACCCAGCTTACCAAATATCATAACTTAACCTCACTTAGATTAAATATTTTCAGCACACTGACGTTAGCCTATAGTTAGACACAATCATCTAATATAAAGTCTGTTTTACAATAAAATGCTGAATGTCTCCTATCATTTATTGAGTATTCAGCTAAAATAAAATAACCAAAGGATAAAGTAGGTCTGCTTTATTACTGTCATGAAATTGGTACATCGTCATTAAAGTGCACTGCAGGCTCCTGTGTGTGTGTTTTGGCTCTTTGCCACATGAAGAGTGGACTAGTTCTGCTATTTTTCATGCTCCGTTGTTCACTGGACGTTTTTTCATTAGTGTTGCTCCATGTCATTTAGGATTCTAGGCAGATTTGTTCTTCCTCTGATGGCATAGAAATCCATTATTTAAATGATTTATGTAGCCTTTATTTCCTTCTCGGAATTTGTGTTGGGTTTTTTTTTTTTTCCTGTTCTCTATTATAAATGATACTTCATGGAGAACTTTTTGGTAAAAAAAAAAAAAAAAGTCTGGGTAATTACTTAAACCAATACTGTTACTGGGTCACAGACTCTAAATGTTTATAAGCCTCCCAATAAAAGCGTATTGCCAAGTATTTGTAAAAACATACCGTAATCCACTGAAAGGCATTTTACTGTAGGAACAAATCTTGTTTTTAAAATATTTATTGATTTTAAGGGAGAGAGCTAGAGAGAGATCCTCCTCCTAGTGGTTCACTCCTTGGAAGATTGGAACAGCTGAAGCTGGGCAGGGCGGAATCCAAGGACCCAGCTGGGTCTCCCACATGAGTGACAAAGCAAGTAATTGGGGCATTATCTGCTACTTCCCAGGCATACTAGCAGGGAGCTAAGTCAGAAAAACCATGAGGACTCAAACCGGCACTCCCATATCAGGCGCTCTCAGTGCAAAGTGTAGCTTAATGCACTCTGCCACAACACATGTCCTGAAAGCCATTCTTCATTAACAAGCACCCCAGTGAACTCTGAGGCGAGCGGTAAGGTCACTCGATGAGAAATACAGGACGATGGTGATGAACTGTGACTTGAATGTTTTGACACTAACATTGCACCCGTCTGTAACTCGAGCAATTGCTCTCCACTTCAGTTCCACTGAAGGAAGTGTCAGTCCCCGTCTGCCTGCAGTTATTATGAAGAGTGAAGGAAATATGTCAAGCAGAAAGATTTAATGCAGTCCTTAGCAGGTAGCAAGGCTTCGGTAGATGCTAACTCTTACTACGCCTGTTGTTGTTTGCCTTGGTGACGTCATTATTCCTGACATGGGCCCTCTCTGCTTCATACTGGTTAATGTTTCTCAGTCCGTTTAAACATGTCCTTACCCAGTTCTGCCATCTTGATTCTCCAATGACGTCATTATTCCTATGGCGAAGATGGAATTGTCTGATTTCAGATGTTGACAGTTTTGGTGGATTTCCGGTTCTAACTTGTCCCATTGTCTCTGCTGTTATGACTAACATCTGTTTACTTAGGAATCCTTCATATTTTTCTCATCCTCTTCCCCCTGCCATTTCTGTAAAAATGGAGTTAAGATTGAAAGCAGTTGGTTCTGACAAAGTGAGCTGCTCTGGGTGGAGCAGGCGGGCACCTTAGTTGTACCCAGGTCCTTTGATCTTTGGCTTCCTTCTTTTTCTGAGCATTTTTCGTGACATGTTTCAGGAAGGTGTCTCAGTTCTCAGAGTGTTAAATACGCACATGGATCCTCTCAGTGAGGCTCTGACTCTTGTTAGCTAACAACAATGCCAAATCCATGACGGGCAACATGGTAGACTCTTCCAGTTTGGTCATGACAACATTTATGGGACATCCCTTTTGGAAGAGTATCCATTTCTTTAATGTCTACAATATCATGTTTCTTGTGAATTAACACATCTGTAAGCAAATAAACTGCATGCTTTCTAAGAGAACACATATTGGATGTCTCTGCTTGTTGTGCTTGTCATCTTGGCAAATGACTGTAAGAGAGAAAGAAGGGCTTTTAAAAAGTGGGCATCAAGTCCATAAGCAGCAAGTTCATTCAGTGAGTAGTTATTAAGTTCCTATTTCCAGTGTCAGAACTGCGCTAGGTGTTGGGAATAATGAAATGCATATATTAAAGTTACTCTATTCACTCATTTACTGGGATGGTCTTTCTGAAGCAAAATAATGTTATATAGAACTTTCTAGAACTACTCAATTAGTGGCTAGTTCCTACTAAAGATTAATATATCTATGAACAGTCATCGGTGCAGTTGTAAAGATGCTATTTTGGATTCTCACATCCTGTATCCGAATGCCTGGTTTCAATCTTGACTTCATTCCAGTTTCCTACTGTTGCAGGTGCTGGGAGGTAGCAGGTGGTGGCTGAAGTGCTTGGGTCACTGCAAGCCCAGACTGAGTTTTTGGCTCCTGGATTTGACCTGAGCCAGGCTAATCTATTACAGGCATTAGAGAAGTCACCTCGTGGAGGCAAGATCTCTCTGTCTCTTTCTTTCTGTCTTTCCCTCTCTTACTATCCAATGCCCTCTCTCTTACTCTTTCAAATATAGATTATTAAAAAAAAGTCTTTAAAATTGCTAGCTGTAAACAAGCCAGTGATTTCAAAATGTACTGATTTGGTTTAAAAATCTACTTTAACTAAAATAGAGTACCTTGAAGCCAAGTCAAAAGCCTAAAAGGAAAATACCACACTAGAAAAAGCCTGTGGATTATCTTGAGAGGGGGGAGGGATGGGTAAGAGAGAGAGAGAGATATAGAGAGAGCTTTCTTCAAGGCCTATTTCTTTCAAGTCATATTTAGTAAAACCACATGATGTGGTCTCCTGAGTGTCACTGGATTTTCTCCCAGAGCTCTGACTGTCCGGGCCAAGTTCCCCTCCTTCCTGATTTATAGAAAGGGACAGCATTTATTGAGGCCTTTTTGTGTTTCAGCACCTTATGTGGGACATAAAGCTATGCTCTTGTTAGAACTTATAGGTGGTGTTTTTTACACCTAGAACCTTGTAAAGAACATGCCAGAAAAGTACCACAGCCTTATAAGGTTCAGGCAGCCAAGGAACTCTTTTCCTTCTCAGTCAAGTGCAAAAAGCAGCTGTGGCTGCCAAGTTCTCAGCTGGTGCTGGTGCAGGCTGTTGCAGCAAGTGGCACAAATCCTGTCCCTTAGGAAAATGAAAAACTGGAGAGGTTTCAGGGTTTATTGTCCTGCTTGCTCAGGGCCAGGTAGGATGGCAGACCTACCCACTAGCTGAATGCTTCTTTGTTGGTAATTATTTAACTTCGATAGAATCTTGTTTTTGTAGTTGGAGAATTGCCCGTCATTGGTTTGAACTTTGTCTTGTTTTCATAAGAGACATTATTCATCTGCTATTTGCAAATAAGCTGCAGGGATCTAGAACTCCCTTAAAATGCTAATACATTCTTGCCAGTAAATTTTTGCACCACACAGTGTGCTACATGCTCCATGTGCTTAATCTCCTTGAAATCTCCTGTGGATCTCTCCAGATAGGTACTCCTGTTCCCACTTTATAGTTGAGCAAAATGAAATTTGAAGAGGTTGAATGACTTGCAGAAGATCATACAACTGTAGAAAGGTAAAGCCATGATTTTTGAGCCAGCTATTTGACAATGAAGCCTTCGGGCTTAACCATTATGCCACAATGAGCTTTCCGAAATTACGCCCAAAGTGGGGTGGGAGGGGATCAGGGAGAAGGGAAAGAAAAAAACAATTTTTTGGAATCTTATATTTCTAAAGATTTACAAGTCCTCTAATTATCAAAGGAATCTTGAACCCCTAAAATTTAAAACCCTCTGCTACAGGTATAGGCTTTTATGGGAATAATCTGAGCAGAAGCCACCTACTCTAGGGTCTAAAGCAGATTCTGCACCTGCTGGAACCCTAAACTTGGCTTAACTGTTGGACCATTGGGTGAATTCACCAGCAAGATTGCTAAGTCTTTCTCCAAAAGCCTAGTGATTCATGGACCTGTGCTATTCATTCATAACATATGCCACATTCCCAGTTTCTAAAAAAGTAGGAAATCTTCAGGAAGTAAATAAATGAAGTCCTAACTCTGTCAATTTGGTTTCGTCGTTTCTGGATGAACCTGCCATGTCATTCCCAGACATCGCTTGGAATACATCACTTAAGTGGGATTTTCAGTGAGACTCTAGTTGATTCTCTTTGCAAACCAGGATTATCACCATAGCTAGACTCCCCGAACTAAAAGGTTGTGTCATAGCTGTTATTTCTTAATAACTGAAAGAGTTGGCTGTGATACCTAGTCGCCCACACACATGCAGTGGTCGAATTAAGTCCATATGATTAAAATATCAAGGCAGTATGTGGGAAATGTCAATATATTTGAAGATAGGAGAACAAACAGGGCAATAACTTACTAAGCATGTACTGCTTTCAAAACTCGTAGTGCTTTAATTTCATTAACTCAGTTTGGCTTCCCATAGGTGTGCTTTATAATCTTTTTCAACTAATGTGGCAATTGGGGTTTGAAGAGACCAAATAGCTTTACTTGAGGACCAATGGCTAGCAAGAAACAGGGTCTATTCCAATCTAGGTCTGAATCCTAAACCCAACGAATGTATACACTGGTAGAAGACTTTGGGACACTAATTCGCATTTGGTTTCTGTACTCATCATGGTAATAAAAAACATAAAAACAAACAAGAAGTGGATATTAAATGCTAAGAATAATATACCCCTTAGTCTTATGATCATTTGCTTTGGTTCTGCCCTAGATGAATGGCCTAAAGAGTAGGTGCTACTGGATGCCATGGGCACTGCAAATCACTTCAGTGAGGGATTCCTGGGCAAGATCACTTTGAGGAGCCACTAGGGTTTGACTTTCAACTCCATCCTGGAATTCACTAGCAGAGAGCAGTGCCGAGGAGAGTTTGACAAATAGTGAGCTCTCCACTGCAGAAGTGTGTCAGCCAAGGGAACTGTATTGCCAAAGGTATGAATGGTAACAGTCCACACTTTCAGGGACCTCCCCTGAGGGTGGAAACAACCAGAGGAGGCAGAGCTCCATTAACACACAGCAGCCAGAGCCCTGTCCTTCGAGCCACAGAGGTGAATTTCAATGCTGAAACTTCACATTGAAGTGTTTGGCCAATTTCACTTTTACTCCACAGAGTTCCAAGCTGAGAGATGGTGAAAAGCTGCCTTCTTTGGTTTCTTTCCCATGTTTGCCATTGCTTAAGCAGAATTTATTTTGGTAACAGGACTACCTGGCCTTCTAGATGCAACTCAATCTCCAGCATTCCAGAGATAACCTTTCTGAAGTCATCTTAGCATCATGTCTAGGCAGTAAATAGCTCAGATTTCCAGATATTCCAAAGGATGCTGGACTCATATGGCTTGCCATTTTAAACCCACAAGTAACTTTGCCCTTACCTCACACCGTATCTGAAACCGTGCAATGAGAGAGACAGCAAAAGTCTGGTTGATATTTTGAGCCTTATTAATCATATGTATCTTTGTTTTAATAATTTTTCACTATTTGGAAATGTGGTCAAATTTCTCAAGTGAAGTAGAATCTTTATGCAGTATTGAAGAGGCATAACTTTGACTCATGGAGCAGTTTTTAACATCTGATGCCTTTTTGTCTCCAGTTTTGTGTGTGTGTTTAACAATAAGCCTGGGAAAGATAGATGCAGGTTTTTTAAAATTTTTTTGTTGTTATTTTGAGTGAAAGCATCATTTAAAGGTAGACATCTAAGCTTCTTAACAAAATTTGAATTTTTTTCTTACTTCATAAATACGCAAGAGGTGATATTTCATTGTGTTTAAATACAAAGTGCTCAACCTTACTTTTTCATTTCTTCATATGAGTTCTTATATATTTCCATGTGCTCATTGAGTTACTAGCATCTTAGAATCCAAATAGAAATGATCAGACTCAATGTAACTTGCTCCTGTTTTGAGAAGCCCAAATAGTATTTGCTTGTGCTGAGAGCATCTTCTGCTACCGTACGTCCACAGAACAGGAAAAATAGCTGGGTCACACGGTACTTTCCTAGGCAGGACAGTGTTCTCCATAATGTGTCCTCCGTAAAGAGATTGATGCATGGAGAGACAGTGAGACAAACACACGTGGCTGATAGGCAACAGAATAAAATTTCTAACTTGGGCAACTGTAACATTCTTGCCTGCATTTTGGACTGCACAGTGGTTCAGTGAGGATGAGAGAAGGTGGAATTCTCCACAATCAATGTATAGGATGGTATCCATATAGAAATCAGATACAATTAATATAGAAAGACTGCCTGTTACATAAACTAAGGAAACATACACCATGAGGTACACACACACACACACACACACACACACACACTGCTTTATGAGGGCAATATTATTTGTATATGTGATAATAAGGAAACAGAAGTGCATACCGATGCATTAGCCAGCAGCAGATTCAAGATGCAAACACCGATTTTTCCCCAAACACAGTTGTTACCTTTCCAGCTCTGTGCTGACTGCTGTTGCTTGTCATTCATTTCTTCATCATTTTATGTCCATTTGTTTAAACCTGTCATCTCCCACTGCTTTATTAAGCAGTGTAGGAAGATCAAAAGATTTGAATTCATGGTCTGTAGGTTCAAATCTCAGCTCCATCATTAGCCGGCCTCTGATATATTCCTGCTTAAAGTTTAATTACCTATAAAATGGTGGGACAATAATTGCTATTTCACAGAGGTGTTATAAAGAGCAAATAAAATAATAGATGGGAAACATTTGGTAAATTGTAAAGCTCAGTGTAAATGTTAATTTTATTATAATCATTCAAATAAGTGGTCCCTAAACTCACATAGCTGAAGAGGGGTGGTTAATAAGGAGAGGAATGAGTCAACCATCCTGAGATAAGGCTTTTTGAAGACTTCAATAAGATGTTTGGAATTACAACTGGAAAAATTGGTGATCTATTAGTAATTACAAGTTGAGTTGTAAAGGAGAAAGATTTCAGGAAGCAGAAATCAGCGAACCCTGGCCAAAAATGTTACCATCTGTATAATACACCCCAAACAATCTGAGCAAAAGTGTCTGCAGAAGGCTCAGTATGAGAGCTGTGGCCAGCTTTTTCGAATCCCATGAAAAGCATTTTAATCTTTACAGACAAGGAAGCGCCATATCTCTATTTTCCATCACCTCAAATGGTTGTCCTTTTCTTCCTTGCTTCCTTTCTTTCCTCTCTACCTCTAAAATGTCTTCCCTTTTCTGCTTTTTTTTTTCCATTCAGCTATAAACAGCATCCCAATATCAAAATGATTTGTAGAAGCCTAGCACCTGCCTACAGGGTCACCAACAAAGAGGCTGATGTTTTCATCTGGCTGGGATCAATTGTGGCTCAGAGAGCCACCCTCCTCCCCACTGAGCGGGTATAGCAGAGAGGCTGGGAGGGGAGCTCAGTGCTGTGCATTTTGTATCAGGAATAGGGAGGCTGGAGTCAAGTCTGTTGCTCTCCAGTTGACAACACATCACATCACAAGAACAGCTCTTCCAAAAATATGGATTCCTGGGTCATGAACCCAATCTGCTAACTGAGGAGAGCCAAAATGAAACCCAAGAATCCATACAAACTTCTCTAAAGTGATGTGCAGAGCAGTAACAGAGAATGACTGGCAGTAAGTGTCTGGTATTTCACCAATGAAGAAGCAAAGTCCCAGAGAAGCCAAGAGACTTGTCAAAACCACAACTGCTAATGACAGAGTGAGATCTCAAAAGCAGGGCTCCCCATTCTCGACCCAGGGCCATTCCTTCTTTGTATTAAAGAACACATTTTTCCCCTCAGATATTCTTTCAAATTTGAAGTGATGATCTCTTTGTCTTGTAGAGCTGGTTTGCGATGTGTTTCAATAAGTGTAACTGCATGGCTGTTTGCTGTTGTTTCTTTGTATGTCATTACCCCGTGAACATACACTGTGGTGCAATATTTTAGGGAATGGGTAACAACATGACCGCAGTAAAAGCTTCCTGCTGTAATCTCTTTCAGTTCTTTTTTTTTTCCCATCTTGTTCTTTAGAGACATGTCAACATGCCCAATCATTTCAGCTAAGCATGATGCTCTGCTAAAAGATGGTGAACACTGTGCTTAGCTGGATAGTATCTCAGTAAGTTATAATGAGGGACATTAAAAGAAGAATATGTCTTTATTTCAATGCTTATGAAATTAAAATGAGTGATTCCTCCAGTTAAAACTTTGGTCGAGAGAGCAAAAGGTTTTGAGATGAGTCCTAATCTGACCACATAATCTGAGAATATCATCGTTCTCCTTCCTCAGCCTTAGACTTCTCTTTGGCAAAAGGGGATAAGCATCTACTCCCCAACCCTAGCTGTTGCCCCGGGTCCCTGTGAATTCCATTGACAAGGACTCTGTTGTGGGCAATGTGAGATTCTCAGGAGCGAAAGGCATTTGTAGAATGCTGTTGTCTCTCCCAGGACAGGTTATTTGACAAAAACAGGCGCAGATAGAGCTCTGGAATGTGGCAAATGGTCAACCACCCAGTCACCTGCGGAGATGGTTATCATGTGATAACCATTAGACCTCAATTCAAGAGGTCATACATGAGAGGGATCGGTGGCATGCATGGGATTCAAATATTGCAAGTCTATAGGACGAGCTATGTATAAGGAATCAAAGAGAATAAGAATAAACACAGTTTGGAAATTTTTCCTTTTGTGGCAAATTTAAATTTCACTTCTGATGGTACAGAAAAAAGAGGATAAAGCAATCATGTTTAAAGATTTAAAAATTCCTACTGATATATAAAAAGCAAAAACGTTACTTACACTCGGTGCTTATGAAAGCTCAGATATCATGATTTCTGTTCTGAAATCCTCAAGGGCTATTTTCGCAATTTAGTCAGAATTGAATTTCAAAAGTCAGCAACATATGTAATCATATTTGGGTTTGTTTGTGTTCGCAACCGAAGTCTAAAAATTGACAACCATTCTTTTGAAATTTCATTGAATGTAGGAAAGAAGAGCAGAGGAAGAACAGCTTGAAAACATAAATAGGCATGTTTAAAATGAAGGGATCCACTGCCGGTATTCATTTTACATAAAGCAGGCACAAGATGGAGGCTCTTTTATAGATGTGTACTGTGGTGGCACAGTGCAGTACTATTTTACAGGCCAGGAATCAAAGCAGTTACACTAGCTATTAGGAAACACTAAATCTGAGGGTTCTGGCATGACCATCTATAGCCAGTAAGAGAAACCCTGTACGGCTCAAACAGCTGACTTATTTCGGATGGCTTTGTTTACGCTGTCCTTGGAGCTCCGTGTACCATTGTGGCCTCCTCATTAAAAAAAACATAAGTCACTCTTTAAGAGGAATCTAAGTGGGAAATAAAATGGGAACCAAGATAGTACAAAGTAAATTCCCTTTAAAAGGAAAGTAAAAAAAAAAAAAAGGACAAAGTTGCATATTTTAATCCGACTAGACAATGAGTGATTAGCACAAAATGGATGAGTGTATGTGAATGTTTGAGAGATGTCATTGCATTAAAAGAAGGGGAAATTAATTGCTGCTGAACTAAAAGTTAATATGTGTCTGAAATGTAGTGAATGTCAGAGCGAAGAATCACTAGTCAACATCACTTGTCAGTTTCAAATGATTAGAAAGAGTTCTAATGTATGTAGAACACATCTGTGTATGTATTTTGGCTGTGAGCTTGCCAAGTTCAAAAGAGTTGTGAATACATTCTCCATGAGTTTGATCATCCTGAGCAGAAAATAAAGTCCCATTTCCATGTATGAGCAGGAGCTTTGTACAGCTTCTCCAGGACTTGCATTTTCAGTGGATTGCAGTCCCCTCCCCCCATCTTAACCTGCCAACAGCAACTAATTGATGAATACAAGAGTACTTCAAAAACTTAAGGGGATAACAGGATTAAAAAGCAGATTTATTTTTGTGCCAATTTTTTTTTTACCATTTTATTTTAAAGTAGTGTTATATTTACAAGGAAACTGTGAGATCATAATGCAAAGAGATCCTGTGCACCCCTCTCCTTACTTCCCTTATTACCATCTCAAATTAGTGTCCTTGTCACAATGAATGTGACTGGATTTGAAATCCACGCATGGTTTTTCCATAATGCATGTTCTCTGTAGCTTTTTGAAGTGCCCCTTTATTTATGGGATGGATAGATGATTCTTCCCTGTGACCCACTGCATCACCTTCACAATGTGTTGATCATTTGAGGTTGATGTTTAAGGTATCAACCAAAGGTTACTTATGTCAGAAGTAGGAATGAGTTATCTCAGCGAGACAGAACTCAATATCAGCACCACTCCATTGTTTCAGGAGCCATGCTCTCAGTAACCCTCTTTCTTTCATGTAGGATTGCACGTTTGGCTCTGGAAAGGCATTTGGCTTTGTGGGTTAAAACCACGAATGGCCTCTGGCATCTGCTGCAACTGCAACATTCCCCTTCTGCAGACACAACCTAATTGTCATTTCATTGCAAACGAACCACACAGTTCTAGATTTGGAGAGGGATGAGATATTTATAGAATTTTCCCATAGACTTTTATTAATCTCACTGGAAATTTACACATTTGGGCCATTGTTTTGTTGTAAAATCCCACTCTCACTAAGGTAGTCATGGCGTGGTCTAAAATCTGGCTGTAGTGAGGTATGGATACAAATGCTGAGTTATGCTGAACCCTGGTTCTGTATTCAATAATTAGAGACAGTTCTTCAGTTACATGCTTGACTTGATGATCTATTACTTTGCTGATTGACATCAAGGCAGAACAGAACTAGAATGGCCCTCTACATACACTACGAAATTTATGAAGTGACTATAAACTTTTCTCTAATACCTCTTAAGAACACAGATAATCAAAAATCTCTCAACAAAAGTATGTGTAAGTAAGATCAAGGAGGGGAAATAATATCAAAACCAAATGTAGAGAGATAGCTAATTTCTCCTGGATAAGAAGTAGATTAAGTGTGAAATATTTAAAAGTTGAACATACTCTCCAGTTTAGTTTGCTGTCCTCCAGCACATCGAGTGTTATTGTGCAAGCAAATAAACCCCTTAAATGAGTTGAAAATGAGCTTTATTCTTCATCAAGTCACTTTGTAGAGTGGTGTTTATGGGGACAAGGACACTCTCCTGGCCCTGTCAGAGTCCAGGATTCTTCAGCATCTGTTTTTATAACCTTTCATTTTCTGAACCTACAGCATCCAGCTGGCAGGAGAAAGCATTGGAAAGAGCATGAAGTAAGAGCTGGGGGCCAGTTCAGAAAGGGACTCCCAGTATTTCTGACCCCATGCAGTCATGTGGCCAGATCTAATTGCAAAGGGGAATGTAGGAATGAGGAGCTTCTTTTATGCCCAGACACAAGCAAGGAGTGCAGTCTGCTAGTCGGCAGACAGAATTGATCACATTGTTGGGCCATTTCAAAGATGGAGCTTTTCAAAGATGGTCTTATTTGTAGTCAGGATTCTATACAAAACCATTTTAAGGAAGTGTGGAGCTCTTTCATGACTCCGTAATCATGTGTGTCCCAAAGCCTCTTTGGCCATCCATCCTAGTTAAAAGACCATTTATAACCATATGTTGTTCACTGGATACAAGAGGTCATATGGGAAGCCTGCTCTTACTGTGCCCATAACACAGCAACAGATATCTGTCTGGTGTGTCTGTTCAAACACTGCCACCCCCTGTTTAAAATTCTGTGTGATCTATTTTAAATGAATTTTAGGGAAAAGATGATTTATGGCTGGCTTACAGTAATATTCCTAGAAATGCTGTAC